TGGTGCTGAGGATCGAACCCGGGCCGCACGCATGCCAGGCGAGCGCCCTAGGGCTTGAGCCACATCCCCAGCCCTTCTTTTTTTAATTGTTGATTGACCGTTATTTTATTTATTTATATGTGGTGCTGAGAATCGAACCCAGTGCCTCACACATACTAGGCAAGCACTTTACCACTGAGCTACAACCCCAGTTCCAGATTTTAGCTTCTTGTGTCAACTAACTGAAGCTCTTATTTTCTGAAGAGTGACATTAAAATAATAACAATTTGGCATCTACAGAAATGGTATTCTAATTATGACAATAAATAGTTGACTATAAATAGTACATGATTTTTAATTACCTCCTGTCCTATATCTCACATTTTCAGTAAAGAAAAAAGAACAGTGGCGATAGGTCAGACTTGATCAAATACCTGAGTTCTTTTCTTATTTGTATCCCTTTAATTTCTTTTGTCTAATTGCTCTGGCTAGTTTCCAGAACTATGTTGAATAGAAGTAGTGATAGAGAACATCCTTGTCAGTTGTTTTTTTTGTTGTTGTTGTTGTTGTTTTAATTTTTAGATGGACACAGTACCTCTATTTTATTTACTTATGTGGTACTGAGGATCTAACCCAGGGCCCCAGGAATGGAAGGCAAGTACTTTACCATTAAGCCACAATTCTAGCCCTCCTTGTCAATTTCTAAAGGGAGTGCTTTCAATTTTTCTCTATTTAAAATGATATTGGCCTTGGGCTTAACATAGATAGCTTTTACAATGTTGAGGTATATTCCTACTATCCCTAGTTTTTCTAGTGTTTTGAACATGAAGGTGTGCTGTATTTGGTCAAATGCTTTTTCTCCATCTATTGAGATGATCATATAATTCTTGTGTTGATGTGATGAATTACATTTACTGATCTCCAGATGTTGAACAAACCTTGCATCCCTGGGATGAACCCCATCTAACCGTGGTGCACTATTTTTTAAATATGACTTTGTTTGTGATTTGCCAGAATTATTGAGAATTTTTCCATCTATGTTCATCAGGATTATTGGTCTTAAGTTTTCTTTCCTTGATGTGTCTTTGGTTTTGGTACCAGCATGTTACTAGCCTCATAGAATGAGTGTGGAAGGGTTCCCTCCTTTTCTATTTCATGGAATAATTTGAGGAGTATTGGTGTTAATTCTTCTTTGAAGGTCTTGTATTTTTGGCTCAGAATCCCTTGGTCCTGGGCTTTTCTTTGTTGGTAGGCTTTTATGGTGTCTTCTATTTCACATATTTTTTTTTTTTGAGAGAGAGAGAGAGAGAGAGAGAGAGTTTTTAATATTTATTTTTTAGTTTTCAGCAGACACAACATCTTTGTATGTGGTGCTGAGGATTGAACCTGGGCCGCACACATGCCAGGCGAGCGCGCTACCGCTTGAGCCACATCCCCAGCCCGGTGTCTTCTATTTCATTGCTTGAAATTAATCTGTTTAAATTGTGTATGTCCTCCTGATTCAGTTTGGTTAGATCATATGCCTCTAGAAATTTGTCAATGTCTTCAAGATTTTTCTATTTTATTGGAGTATAAATCTTCAAAATAGTTTCTAATTATCTTCTGTATTTCAGTTGTGTCTGTGATGATATTTCCTTTTTCATAATGAATTTTAGTAATTTACATTTTTCTCTTTCTCTTTGTTAGTATGGCTAAGGGTTTATCAATATTATTTATTTTTCCAAAGAACCAACTTTTTGTTTTTATCAATTTTTTGAATTGTTTCAATCTCATTGATTTCAGCTCTGATTTTAATTATGTCCTATATCCTACTACTTTTAGTGTTGATTTGTTCTTCTTTTTCTAGAACTTTGAGATATAATGTTAGGTCATTTATTCATTGACTTTCTATTCTTTTAATGAATGAGCTCAATGCAATGAACTTTCCTCTTATCACTGCCTTAATAGTGTCCCTGAAATTTTGATATGTTGTATCAGTGTTCTCATTTACCTCAAAGTATTTTTTTTTTATTTCATCCCTGATTTCTTTTGGTATCCATTCATCATTCAATAGTATTTTATTTAGTCTCTAGGTGTTAGAGTAGCTTCTATTTTTTATTTTATTGTTGATTTCTAATTTCATTCCATTATGATCTGATAGAATGCAGGGTAGTGTCTCTAATTTTTTTGTACTTGCTAAGAGTTACTTTGTGGCATAGATACAGTGTATTAGAGAAGGATCCATGTGCTGCTGAGAAGAAAGTTTACTCACTCATTGATGGATGAAATACTCTATATATGTGCATGCGTTAAGTCCAAATTATTGATTGTATTATTTAGTTCTATAGTTTGCTTAGTTTTGTTTGGAAGATCTATCCGGTAGTGAGAGAGGTGTGTTAAAGTCATCTAGTATTATTGTGTTGTGGTCTATCTGATTATTTTTTTTTTTTCCTTTTTCGGATCCATGTGTTTTTGTCCATCCTTTCACCTTTAGTCTATGGATGTCTTTGCCTATGAGGTGAGTTTCTTGGAGACAGCATCTATTATTGGAGCATTTGGTTTGTTTGGGGGGCTTTTTTTTAATACAATCTGTCAGTGTATGTCTTTTTTTGGGGGGGGGCGGGAGGGTATTGGGATTGAACCCAGGGGTGCTTGACCATCAAGCCACATCCCTAGCCTTTCCTTATTTTTTATTTTGAGATAGGGTCTCACTGAATTGCTTAGGTCCTGGCTAAATTGCTGAGGTTGGCTTTGAACTTGCAATCCTCCTGCTTCAGTCTACTTAGCTGCTGGGATTTTCAGGAATGTGCCCAGAGGTCTATATTTTTTGATTGTTGAGTTTAGGCCATTAACATTCAAAGTTATTATTGAGATATGATTTGTATTCCCATTCATTTTGGCTTATTTCTGGTTTTTAATTTGACTTAATTTCTACTTTGATTGTCTTTTCCTTAACTGTAGTTCCTCCCTTTGCTGGTATTTACTTTTTTTTTTCTTCATTTCCTCCTCATGAAATATTTTCCTGAGAATGTTTGGAAGTGCAGGCTTTCCAGTTGTGCATTCTTTTAATTTTTGTTTATCATGGAAGGTTTTTATTTAATCTTCAAATCTGAAGCTTACTTTTACTGGTATAAAATTCTTGGTTGGCATCCATTTTCTTTCAGAGATTGGTATATGTTATTCCAGGACCTCCTAGCATTAAGGGTCTAGGTTGAAAAATCAGCTGATATCTGAATTGGTTTCCCCCTATATAAAATCTAAATCTTTTCTCTTATGGCTTTTAAAATTCTATCCTTATTCTGTATTTTCATTATAGTGTGCCTTGGTGTGGGTATGTTGTAATTTTGTGCATTTGGGATCCTATAAGCCTCTTCTATTTAATTTTTCATTTCATTCTTCAGGTTTGGGAAATTTTCTGATATTATTTCATTGAAAAGATTGTGCATTCCTTTGGTTTGTATCTCTGTGCCTTCCTCTAACCTAATAAATCTTAAATTTGGTCTTTTCATGTTATCCTATAATTCTTAGAAGTTCTATGTGGTCAATTTGATTTTCAAGATTATATATTTTGGGCTGGGATTGTGACTCAGTGGTAGAATGCTTGCCTAGCATGAGTGAGGCACTGGATTCAATTCTCAGC